TATTAAAATCCATTCAGTCAAATTATCTGGACCGGCCTTAGAAATTTGTGCATGTTTCAAAAAATCTTATAAACAAATTAAATTGTGCAAAAACTATTCGACGGATCTAGCCTATCTTTCGCACACACTTCGAACACGATAAGGTCTTTAAGTTCAGATACATTTAAATAAATTTAATTGATTAATAAAAGAGTAATTAACAATAATCAAAAACAGTGGTTTTGCTTGGTTATTATGCAATAACTTTTTTGTTTATTAACCGATTTTAATTTAGTATATTTCATTTTGTGTATTCTTTTTTCTCAACAACTTGTCTGTGGACGTCAAATCTCTAAATAGACAAGTTTAAAAGTTATGAGCAAAATAATGATATTGACGTTTTAATTGTTTATTTAAAAATATTTCCACTAAAAAATTCATGAATCCCTAGATGAGAGTCTTTTTGTAATATCTCATACTACTTATTTCAACTGTCAAACCCGTCTATAACACTTGTGATGAGTAAAAACCTAACTTGATTGGCCTATTATCCGAGTACAAAACTATGTCGTTTGTGAATTTCAATTTTGTTAATCTTCTGCTGTCAATGTTCAGGCCTTTCTCTTATTTACAAGCATAGTGCTGCGGTAAACAGTTTAGGCAATAAGGTATCACCCTGTCGGACCCTGTCTAACAAAGATAGCTTAAGGCCTTTATTTTGAATGTGGAGAATTTTAAATTCGTCATTAAAAGAATGATTATGATCTAGAAGGTGAAGTGCGTATGTAGAATCTGTTTTTCTATTATTGAAAGCCCTTTTATGTTCTGCTATTCCTTTATTAAAGTTTATATCAGTTTGACCGATGTAAGTTTTTGGGCAGTCGCCACATTTAAGTATGTATGTATATTTATGTTTGGGATCTTTTTAAAAAATCTTTTTAGAAAAAAGGTCTTGAGGGTGAAACAGCTGGAATAAAGGTAAATGGAGTTCCCATTAACAGCATTAGATATGCGGACGACACTGTGATCTTAGCCAAAAATATTGTAGATCTTAAGAGACGGTGACCAGAATAGCGGAGTTGGAAAAGAGTACGGTCTAACAATGAACGTCAAGAAGATGAAATTTATGAGAATATCGAATACTCAAAGAAATAACATGCAATAAATCAAAGAATAATTGTCGAAAACATTTTGAAATTTTCCGTTATTCTAAATCTACTAATTATGTTTCATTAATATGAATTATTTAAACAGAAAACCTTTTAATGTCTATAAATATTTTTACGTTGCAAACATAATGCAGATCTTATCTTGTATATGTGTATAACTTTAATTACCAAATCATTCTGATATCAATAAAAGTGCAGTTTCCGCGCGACAAAGCGCCACCGTCCTGAAGCAAAAATCGCTGTCCCGTCCCGCGGGACAAAATGTTAGACGGGACGTATCGTATGCATCACTAATCCCATTTTTAATACAATAAATTTATGTTAAATTTAGTCAATGTACTGTTGATATACAGAATTACATCAAGTGCTTCGTTTTTAATTTTATCCGCTTTTTATGTATATTGTAATCGACTATTTAATTATTCATTTCGATATTGTTGAATATAATTAATTTTTTCATGGAAATGTATTGTATCACGGATGATGAAGGATAAGAGTTTGTATTTCATTTAGACAGTTTTAATTTAATATTTTATTACTTTAATCGTTTTCTGGAAGTATATATTTTACAAAGTAAAATCCGTCAGATTTATTACTTTTAAAAATGTAAAATATTGCAACATTTTGATCTGTACAGGGATTAAAACATAACTGATTGTAAGGATAATTCAACATCTTGCCTCACAATATCTTCCTCATGGACACCTTCTTTATATAGTTCAGCTGGGAGATTGTCTATTCCGGGTGATTTGTTTCTGCTCGTGAGTGCTCCAGTTCGGTACGGGTTTCGGGTATTCCATGTTCCCCATCTTAACTCCATTTTTCGTTTGCAGAGTCGTCGTCGTGAGTTCCGTCTAGCTAATAGTTCTTGAGGTTCCGTAACATGTTTTTTTTTTTCAGAAGAGGTTGTTAGCTTCTAGCCCAACTCCCAACCTGGAGGTTCAGGGACTCTTCTGTTAGGCCTGAAATACCTTAGTCTGTTTTGTTTCGCACTTGGTATTTTTATTTCCTAACTACCCACCGGTGCTATGACCGGTTAGGGCGGCGTGTCCCTATCCACCACCTGGGGATGCGTCCGATGGGAGACACACAACTCTCCACGGACAAAAAAACTTTGTCCCTTGCGGAAAAGTTAATTGTTGAAGTCTGAGAAAATTATTTAAACAATATCTTAACGAAGGTGGTCCTTGGTTTCTTGCAGATTTGATATTAGGTCATAATTTAAGCTTGTGCACTCATCTAGTTTTAATGTTTTTGGCCGATATCTCGATTTTCCCGTAGATTTTTGTGCTTGGGGTTGAAGGGGCTAGTGTTTGTGGTTGGTTTATGTGTCAATCAATAGCAATTCTTCTTCTTTTTGTGCCACTCCTATCGGAGATTGGAAATCATCAAGGCTATTCTGACCTTGTTTACGGCTGACCTAAAGAGTTCATTAGTGGTGCAGCCAAACCACTCTCTCAAATTCCGCAACCATGACATTCTTCTACGGCCTGGATTCCGTTTTCCTTCTATTTTTCCCTGCATTATATTTTGAAGTAATGCGTATTTATGTCCATTCATCAGGTGACCAAAATATTCGAGTTTTCTTCGCTTTAGCATTAACAAAATCTCTGGGTCTTTTCCTATTCTTCGTATTACTTCACAGTTTGTTATTCTTTCAACCCAACTAATCTTCAGCATTTGACGGTAGCACCACATCTCGAAACTTTCAATATTTTTCATGTTGTTCTGTTTGAGAGTCCAGGCCTCTACACCGTATAATAGCGTGTTAAATACATAGCCTCTCAGCATTCTTAATCGTAGAGGGATGCTTATATTTCTGTTGCAGAAGAATTTTCTCATCTTTATGAAGGTGGCCCTGGCAATTTCGATACGTCTTTTTATTTCACTGTTTTGGTCTCCAGTTTCGTTTATTAAAGTTCCCAAGTATTTGTAACTTGATACTTTTTCAACTTGAGTGCCGTTTATACTAATATACGCTGGTTGTGTCATGTTTTTACTGAAGACCATATACTTGGTTTTTTTAATATTGATATTTATACCATAATTGTTGCAAGCAATATTTATGTCTGTAAGTAATCTTTGTAATTCTTCTACTGTTCTTGCAACTAGTACAGTGTCGTCCGCGTATCGAATATTATTTACAATCTCTCCATTCATTACGATTCCTCCGTTTGCTTGTAAAAGGGCTTCCTGACAGATGCTTTCACTATATACATTAAATAACAGAGGTGACAAAATGCAACCCTGTCGTACTCCTCTACGTATTTCTATTGCTTGTGATGTTTCAGTTTCTATTTTGATGTTAGCTTTCTGATTCCAATATAGATTGAGAATTATTCGCAGATCTTTATTATCTATGTCCTTACTTTCAAGAATCTCTCTAAGCTTATCATGGCGTACTCTGTCAAACGCTTTTTTCAAAATCGATAAAACACGTATGTACCTCCTGATTAACGTCTAGGCATCTCTGTGTGAGAACATTCAAACCGAAGAGAGCTTCTCGAGCACCAAGCCCTTTTCTGAACCCCATCTGTGTATTACTAATATCTGACTCCAACTTTTGATAAACTCGGTTGTGGATGATTTTTAGAAATATCTTTAGTAGGTGGCTCATTAAAGATATTGTTCGATGTTCTGAACATTCTTTAGCATTAGATTTCTTTGGCAGTGTAACGAATGTAGACAACAGCCACTCTTGAGGTATAATGCCAGTATTGTATATTGTATTAAATAAGTGCAATATTATACCTATTGATTCATCATTCAAGAGCTTTAACAATTCGGTAGGAACCTCATCCAGTCCATTTGCCTTTCCAGTTTTGGAATTTTTAAGTGCCATTTCTACTTCACATTTTAGAATTTCAGGTCCCGTTTCGCCATATATCAGAACAATGTTATTTCTGTTGTCCTCAAATAATTCTCTTATGTATTTACTCCATCTATTAATTTTCTCTGTTAAATCTATAATAATCTTTCCATCTTTGTTCTTAAGCAAACTTATTTGACGTCTTCTTTGGGTTCCTGTAATTTCTCTTACTTTTTTATGTATATTGAACGTGTCGTACTTTCTTTCATAGTTTTCCATTTCTACACATTGTTCTGTAATCCATGATTCTTTGGCATTTCTTATTCTTTGCTTTATGTTCTTATCAACCTCTTTGTATTTTTCTGCATTATTCTTCATTTTACGTCTTTCATCCATTAGTTCTAGAATGTATGTTGTCATCCACACCTTATGTTTCTTTGCAGATTTGGTTAGGTGTTTCTTTCCCGTAGTTCTTATTATAGTATTTATATACTTAAGTTTTTCATCTATGTTGTCTGTTCTGCGGATTTGGCTTTCTGCTACACTGAGGCTGGTGTTTATTTCTTCTCGCACTGTTTGTCGTAGATGTTCATTTTTAAGCTAGCTTAAGTCTAATGCTGGAATGATGGCTTTTCTTATTTTCTTTGGTCTAGCTTCTATCAATAGCAATTAATTAGCAGTAAAGTATGCCGCCAAGATGGCCCTGTAGCCATTTTTCTTGCCAAGATATAGCTATGGATATGCTAGCTTTACAGTAAAGTTAGCATAACCATTATTTGGCTGAAACGGCTATAGCAATATTTTTTCTTTCCGTAATAAATTAGCAATAAATTGCAGTCTTGGTCTGAATTCGAACTTATAAAGAGTTTGCTAACTTAACAACTATTACATTCTATTAAGACCAACCGTGAATTTTATTTAGCGCTGAATGGGGCAAAGTTGCATAGTTTTACCGATATTATTATTATTTGTTCGTTAAGTGTATTTGATCTGTATATTATAATAAAATTAGTATTTTTATATTTGACTTTTTTTATTTTCAGAATTTGTTCGCGGGTGAAAATTGTCCTCGATTTATTTCCTGTGAGTTTGCTCATAATACTTCTTGGTATGTGACGTTTGAATCTGACGAGGATGCCCAAAGGGCATACCGATATTTAAGAGAAGAAGTGAGAGAATTTCAGGGAAGACCTATTATGGCGAGAATAAAGGCTAAACCCATGAACCGATTGCCGATTCCACCAGTGACAGGAGTGAAAAATGGTTTCAGGGCTACACCACCTCCAACCGCTGTATATGATCCGGCGGCGTTTCCACCGGGTCAACAGAGGTTTATCTACACAAATGGTACTCCTGGACAACCGTTACCTGCCTATAATCAAGTAGTATATGTGAGTAGACTATAATTTTTTAAAATAATAACTTGTCCTCATTTTAGTTGATTAACCCTGTGTCAAATACAAAATTTTAATTTTTAATATAATTCCTGCATTATGTATAGTCCTGATTATCGTCTAGTGACAACATTAGTGACATAACTCGAAAAACATGGATCTAAAATACTTTCAGTTAAAACTTTTACGAAATTTTTTAACGGCTTTACGGTTCAAAATATCGTATTGATTTCTGAATGCTAACTGATATAAATGTAGCTTAGCTGTACGAAGTTTTATAAAAGAACATCTCGGGATGCTCTTTTTCGACCAGAACTGTAGATATAGGATTAAAATTAAAGCTTTCACCATCGTTGTTTTTATTGAAAGGTGTTAGCACATTGGTCAACAAATTCAGTATAATCCAATTCATTCACTCTAAAAGAACTACCGCTTTTTCTGGCATTAGAAATTATCTCTTCATTGTGAGCTTTTACATAGATCGGTCCACCTTTCAATGATTTTTTTATGCTTTTCCCAATCACTGAGAGTGTGCAGTCTCCTTCGTTTTGTCCGTGACCCACAACAAAAAAAAATATGTGTGATGAACAATATTTATATTGAAAGTAGTGACAGCATAAAACAATATTGTAATAATAAATTTGTTCTTTCCTTGCTCACTGCAATTGTCGGAGTAAAGAATTATCTCCAACTCGTCAGAATCTGCAGCTGTTGCCTTTTTTTCCAAGAATTGTAGTAAACAAGTTCCGATTTCGATTAAACCACGCTTACCAATCCCTTTTTTTACATTTCACTTCTTCTTATGGTGCCTATCCGTTACGGATGTTGGACACTAACATGACTATTCTGACTTTGTTGACTACTACCCTGAAAAGTCCGGTAGTGGTTAAGAAGTATTCCCTCGTCTATGTCTGTTAGCGCTAGGTTCATAATGTGCTCTGAATATGTATTGAACAATAATGGGGACAATATACATCCCTGTCGTATACCTCTTTTTATCATTATATCGTCTGTTAACTGATCCCCAACTCTAACAGCTGCAGTTTGTTCGTAATAGATATTGTTTATTATACGGCGATCTCTGCTGTCTAGACTAATTGAATTTAATTGCAGTTCACAAACTGTAAAATTCTCTCTCTCTTCAATCCTGACCCCCAGGGGGAGTGTAGTGGTCGACGTGATGTTCCGTATTGTCCGTCTCCAGAGATCTCTGTCTCTGGTCATTTCTTTTAATTCATGCATAGGTCTTTGGCATATTCCTGTAATTTGATCTATCCATATTGTTGGGGATCTTCCTCGTGATCTTCGGCCTTCTACCTTTCCTTGTATTATGAGTCTTTCCATGTTTTCTGTGTTTGCTCTCATAACATGCCCAAAATATTTTAATTGTTGGAGATGGACTTTACTAGAGAGTCGTTGGTTACCTTTTAGCTCTCTTAACATTGAATTATTGGTTCTACGGTCGGTCCAAGGAATTCGTAACATTCGTCTCCAACAGAACATTTCAGTGGCGTCTATCTTTCTTCTCTCCAATTGTCTCAGAGTCCAAGATTCCGTAGGTCAGTATTGGGAATATTAAGCAGTTGATCAACCTCATCTTTATCGCTCTTGAAATTTGACAGTCCTTCCATATTTTGGTCATTTTTGCTGTGGCAACTTTTGCTAGATCACTTCTACGTTTAATATCTTCTTGTAATGACCCTGTGTTTGTGATTAATGATCCCAGATATAAGTATGAGCTCACAACCTCAAACCGGTCAATTGTGGTTATGTGTGGATGATTGTTGTGTAGTCTATCCACTATCATGATCTTTGTGTTTGATATGTTTAATTGCAGACCAAATATTTGACTTTCGTTTTCGATCAGTCGTATAAGTTCTATCAGCTCTGCTTGACTATTTGCAAGAAGGGCTGTGTCATCTGCGAAACGTAGGTTGTTTAGTTTATGACCATTTATTGAGATGCTCTTTTCCCGTCCTTCAAGTGCTCTTCGCATAATATACTCCCCATATATGTTGACTAATTGTGGAGATAGTATACATCCTTGTCTGACACCCCGTTCTGGATGAAACTCGTTCGAAAGTGTGTCAAGTACTTTAACTGATCCAGTAGTGTGTTCATATAGTTCGGTTATAAGCGTAATTAGATGTTGTGGTACACTTACTTCTTTTAGTATTCGCCATAAGTGTCTCCACTTGACCCTGTCGAACGCTTTACGGTAATCTATAAAACAGATGTTTAGTGGGATGTTGAATTCCCTAGATTTCTCGATTATCTGTCTTCAGCAGGTGTTCTCGAGTGCCTCTACCTTTGGTAAATCCAGTTTGCTCTTGTGGAATTTCTCTTTAAAGGAATGTTTTCAGTCTCTCATTGATTATATGTAGCATTATGTGTAGCATTATATGTAGCATGTAAAATTAAAACAGTTTAATTTGGATTTATAGTAAAAACTGGACACATCACCCATGGGGACTGGCAATGTTGCTTGCAAATAAAACATAATTGCTATTTAAATGGGAATAAGCCACAATTAAAGGTTAAAGTACGTTTATTGACGTTTCAATTTCCACTTCGCAAATCGTTCTAAAATGGATTAAATGGACACCAACGTCATAACCGTCTCGCTAGAACGATTGTACTGAAGAAATAACAGATTTATCTGAACAATATGGCCTGTACCAACTGTCAAAATTTCGAAGTTCCTATTGGAAGCCCCCTTATTAATTTTACCTCTCATATGTCTTACATCCAATTGAAGTACAATTTAAAGAAAAAAAATCTAAGAATTTTAGATAACAATTTTATACGAGCTTTTTGTGGTAATTTTTATATGTGGTTTGAGTTCGTTGAGAAACTCTGGAAGGCGAGCTTTTATATACAAATATGCTTATTAAAACTGCCTGATTTTATCAATACAAACCATCAGCGCGAAAATGTATTTTACGATGCTGCGATTCGTGCCGAGAAAACTCTATATATCGAGAAATTTCATAATATATTGCTCGAATTTATTTCAAAAATCTTTCGATATATATTATTTTGTAGTCCGTTGATTACCAAAGAGTTGCTGCTACAAATTATCTGATTAAAAATCACTTTATATAATCTAAAAACTACTTAAGAATTTACTTTCTCTAAATTTTTTATAGGAAATTTTCTTAAATTTAATTGCATCATTTACGATTTTGTAGCATTTTGTAGAATCATCTTTTAGTACGTTAATTGGACGCTATTAAAAACTACTAAGAAAACAAGGTTATTTGCTCTTCGTACATAATTATAATAACAAAAAATTAACAGGTCCCTAGATCTATTTGAAGTTTTATAATTGATTTATTTATTCTAGTAACCAACAAATAACATAATCTAAATTCAAGCGCTAAAGCAGCTAAGTGCCTTGGTAATTGAATGGTAAAATGTATTGAGAGCATTGAAGAGTATATACACTCCCCGACACAAAATTCCGCTACTAAAAATTTTTGATTAAGTTTGGCAATTTATAACTTTTTTATTTATTATTATTAGTATTATTATATAACAAATAAGGGCAGAGGAGCGAACTCCTATTATGCCCAAAAAGCAAAAATAAACAAAAATAAAATAGATCCTTATAAAACTAATACTAATTATAAAGTTAAGTAGTTAAACAATTAACAAAAATTGAATTGTGGCACAATTAATAAATAAATAATGCTGTCAAAGAAAAAATATCATATCCTATAAAAAAAAAAATAAAGCGCTATCAAGTTTATTTTAAAGATGTTAACACTAGCTGCCGATATGGTGTCTTGATCCAAATTGTTCCAGATATTAAAGATTCTGTTTGGCAAGAAGTTCGCCCTGGACCTTGCAGTAGTTTGTTCCCTCTTTAATTTGTATCGATGGCCTCTTAATCTATCGTCTTCATTCAAAGTGAATATGGTGTTTAGGTTCCCAAAATTATGTTTTAAAATACGGAAGGACATAATTAGGTCACCTCGAAGACATCGTTGCTCGAATGTCGTAAGATGAGCCATAAATAGTCTATCTTCATAGTTAGGTCTAACACGGCCGTATGCCAGTCTTGTGGCTTTACGCTGAACGTTTTCAAGTAGGATTTTATCGCGAATAAGATCTGGATTCCACACTGGTCCAGCAAACTCAAGAATAGGTCTAACGTATATTGAGTAAAGTTTACTAACAGAGGTTAGAGATATGCGTGCAAAACATTTACGGATCAAAAACAGTTTCGAGTTAGCACGTTTACACACCGACACTATGTAATCAGACCAATTTAAGTCACTATTAATTATCACTCCGAGATCGTTGTGTGAGGTTACAGAGTTTAAAGGATGTCCATTAATAAAGTACGGCAGTGATGGGTTATTTTTGCCGATATGTAAAACAACGCATTTTTCAATGTTAAGCGGAAATAACCATTCTGAGGACCATTTGAATATTGCGTCAAGATCTTGTTGAAGAATATGTTGGTTAATAGTTGGATTCACATATAACTTAGTGTCATCAGCGTAAATGGAAACCTTACTGGATACAATGAGCGGAAGATCACTAGTGTAGACACAAAAAAGTAGCGGTCCAAGTACTGATCCTTGTGGAACTCCACTCTTGACTGGCTTATCTAATGAGTGGTCTTCCCCAACACGAACCCTGAAGTATCTGTTGGATAGACAATCTTGTATCCAAATGTTTAATTTTCCGCGGATAATATAGTGATCCAATTTAGCTAGTAATCGACGTTTTGGAACACGATCGAAAGCTTTGGAGAAGTCTAAGTAAACTACATCGACAGGATTCCGATTGTTTAAAGATAATGACCAATCATTTACACAATGAAGTAAGTTTATGATCGTTGAACGACCTTTGATAAATCCATGCTGTTGGTGAGGGATGACATTTTCTTGAAGAAGGAACTCGGACATAGCTTCCGAAATAATCGATTCCATGACCTTGCTGACAATAGGAACCAGGCTGATTGGACGATAATTATTGCAATCAAG